TTTTCAAAGATTGACCTTCGGTCGGGTTTTCACCAACTTCGAGTTAAGTCGGAGGATATTCCTAAAACTGCTTTCAGGACGAGGTATGGGCATTTTGAGTATTTGGTGATGCCTTTTGGTGTGATAAATGCTCCATCAATATTTACCGACTACATTAATAGGATTTTTCATTCGTATTTGTATTCATTTGTAATGGTATTTATTGATGACATTCTGGTTTACTCCTAGAGCCGAGAAGAACATGCGGAGCATCTGAGGGTGGTTCTGGATATTCTGAGGAGCAATCATTTGTATGTGAAGTTATCGAAATTGACTTTTGGCTGGAATCTGTGAACTTCCTTGGACATGTGATATCCCGGGAAGGGGTAGCAGTGGACCCTTCTAAAGTCGAGGCAGTAATGGAATGGGCAGTATCTAAGTCAGTCCTTGAGATTAGAAGTTTTATGGGTTTGGCCGGTTATTATCGGAAGTTCATAGAGGGGTTTTCAAGGTTGGCGTTACCTCTAACAAGCTTACTAGAAAAGGGGAACCGTATGTATGAACAATTCGTTGTGAAGAAAGTTTTCAAGAGCTGAAGCGGAGGTTGACTACGGCACTAGTGTTGGTTCTTCCCTGCACTGATCGTGATTTTAGTGTGTATTATGATGCTTCTAAGAAGGGTTTGGGTTGTGTTTTGATGCAGGACGGTAAAGTTGTTGCCTATGCTTCACGGCAGTTAAGGACGCATGAGCAAAACCACCCTACGCATGATTTTGAACTAGCCGCAATGGTACTTGCATTGAAAATCTAGAGACATCATCTTTATGGTGTAAGATTTGAGGTGTACATCGACCACAAGAGTTTGGAGTATTTGTTTGATCAAAAGGAACTTAACATGAGGCAGAGAAGGTGGATGGAATTCCTTAAGGACTATGATTTTGGATTGAAGTATCATCCCGAAAAAGCAAATGTAGTTGTCGTTGCTTTAAGTCAAAAGTCCCTACATATGTCGGCTTTGATGGTTCACGAAGAGAAACTAATTGAGGAGTTCAAGGATATGAACTAGGTAGTTCCAGTAAGACCCTATAACATGATTTTGGGAATGCTTAAGGTCACCAATGAATTGTTTGACCATATCAGAATAATGCAAGTCGAGGATCGTGAGTTGAAGGTCAAACGCGATTTGATGGCTAAAGGAAAGGAAACCGGTTTTGAGTCGGATTCTAGTAGAATGTAGCGATACAAGGTGTAACACCTCAAATTTCGTTTTCCGAATGATTGGAAAAAGTAGAGTGTTGGAGTATATATTGGGCAATCCTCGTTTGAGAGAGAGGACCTCACCCAAGAGAGAGAATCGGTATTCTAATATGAGTTTCTCGGAGACCTCGCTTAAGCAAGGAAGTGGTCACTTGAGTGGGAGTGAAATCTGGTAAAGCTGCCAAATTCTAACTTGAGCAAGAAATTCTAGCCCATGCCAGAGAAGTCTGAACTTGCTGCCCGATTCTCGCTCGAGCGAGAAATCCGCGCCTGGGCGAGAGAGTTAGAGTTAAAAAGCTGAAAAATTGCGAAATTCTCGCCCAAGCGAGTCATTCTCGCTCGGGCGAGGCTGCGCAGCTATAAAAGTAAAATAGGGGTTTCAAAAACTCTAATCTTCATTTTATTTTCTCTCCTTTCACTCCCAACGGCGGCTCCACCCAAATGAACCATTCACCTCTCCACTCATCAAAACCTCTTTCTATTACTTCTTGGTGGCACATTTGGGAAATCTTGGAGGTAAAAAATGGAACAATGGAGATTGGAGAAGATGAAGGGAGATGTGGCTCTTTTGCGGAGCAACGGAGCTTACGCAACCTAAGGTGAGGGAGAAGACCATTGTGGTCTTAGAGTTTTTCATTAGAGTCATCTTCTCTGATTTCCCTCAAGGATCGGAGCACGTTAACGGATAGAAACTCTCTTGGGTGTTTGTGGTCCATGTGAGAGTCTTTATTTTATATGAGGATGTATTAGCCATAAAAGTGGATATATATGTGCGGGAAAACCGTTTATTTAAGTAAAACGCAATATGCTCATTTAAGGTAATACACCATCGTGAAAGATGGTTCTAACGTTAATGTGTTATATGATGAAGAATATGTTGTGTGTGGTTTGTTTATTATAATGGTGTGTTATGAATGGTTGATTTGTTATAAACATATATGGGTGTGTTTGTAAAAAGGATTGTGAGATGTGTTGTTTAATGACAAAAGTAGAAATGGTTATGTTGTGAGATAATGATTGTGTGTGAGTTGTTTATTGTTATAAACATATATAACTGTGTTTTTAACAATGATTGTGTGAGGAGTTGTTGATTTGTTAAAAGTAGAGATGAGTATGTTTATGAACATATATGGGTATGTTTGTGACAATGAAGGTGTTGTGGGTAATTTTATGGTGATGAAACAATGAGACACCTTGTGTTTATTGTGTTATGAGATGAATTGGTGGTGAATCAATGAAAAGAAAACACGTTTTTAGCCGACCATGATTGGTTAGCGACTTTGGCACAAGTTATGTAGCAAGCTTTGGCTCAAGCGATGTAGCGAGCTTTGGCTCAAGCGATGTAGCAAGCTTTGGCTCAAGCGATGTAGCAAGCTTTGGCTCAAGCGATGTAGCAAGTTTTGGCTCAAGCAATGTAGCAAACTTTGGCTCAAGTTATGTAGCATGATTTATATATATATATGTATGTTGAATTATGATGAAGGTTGAATTGGGTAAATCATGTAAGTAAGTTGTAATAGGTGCTAAATGAATGAGTGACTATCCTATAAATGTTATAGTGATTTGGAATGAATTGTCTAAGTGAGAGTTCATAATCATGCTAATTGGATATATTAACATTATGTGGTATAATGTGTTGATTGTTATATGTTTAATATGATTGATGTTAGACGTTGTATAGGTTTAATACTTTAATGTTATTACTCCATATAATTCCACGCTACGGTCACCGTAGTTGGTTCTTACTCCTTCTGTCTCTTCTTGTATGTGTTGTACATTTGAGTTCAGGTTGTGGCGGTAGCGCGTTGGACGCTTGCGGAGAAAAGAACATGGTAGAGTAGGGTTTTATGTAATTGATATGTTATATGATAAATGTTTATAATATGATAACTATGTTGGATTATCTATTTTGTGAAATTTGTGTGAGTTAACTGCTTGATTTATGCTAATAGTTTGCTAACTATGTGATAACTGCTGATGTGAAAGATGATTGTTAAATTCCTTGCGGTAAGCATCTAGTTGTGAACTTATCGTTGGATGTCTTGTTGTGAGTTATTGATGAAGTGCTTGTTGAAAAATCCTTGTTGTGAATTTCGTAGAGGATTTCTTGTTGTAAAACTCTTGTTGAATTCCCTGGTATGGACTTGTTGTTGAATTTATTGTGTGAGACCCTTTTTGGGGATTCTCTAGTGAAACTCTTGCTGAAAGTTCCTGGTTGTGAACATCTTGTTGGAATTGTTTATGGGGAGTTTGTGATTGTGATTTTCCAGTTGGATTTCTTGGTGTGAGATTTATTTGTTGAGAGTTCCTAGTGGTGGATCTCTTCTTTGAGCTTTGGTCAACCTCTTGATGTGAATTTTCTTTTATCACTAAGATTAAGATAATTGAAGAGGAATGATTAAATTGGTTTTCTTGGATGTTTGCTTATATGTCTCTATGGCTCTAGTTGAACAAGATTAAGGTAATAGTCGTCCGCTGTTACATATGAATGAGAATTAAAGATCTTGTTAGCATGTTGAGAGAATAAGACTTTGAAAGAACTATATCTTTTGTCTTGAAAAATTTGGATTTTTATTTGATGGATGATTTTTGATAATGAGGAGAAAGTTAGTTTTTGCTAATAGTTGTGAAGAAGATCTTGCTCCTGACCTTGGCACGGTTGTGATGAAGACACCAATATCACAAAAAGAATAAAGGAAGAAGACCGACAAAGACTATCAAAGATAAAGCTTCAAGATTTAGAGTCTAAGTCTTTAGGTACTTCTATTCCTACAACTCATTTAGTTACTTAGTTAATAATGCTCAAATTATTTTCAAGAAAATCAGAAAAAATCTAAGTGTGAATAAAAATGATTTTCAAAAACAACATGTAACGGGTTACCATACTTGAGTAACAAGTTACATGAGTGAGAAAAGAGTTTTCAAATCTCTAAATCTATGAGTAATCCATTCCAGACTCTGGAGTAACAGATTACCAATTTTAGTAAACAAGGTAATCGATTACTCAAAGTAGTGTAATCGATTACACTAAGGCAAATTCACAAAGCTGTCAAATAGTGTTGTTGAGTAATCGATTACTCAAATCCAGTAATTGATTACACTATGTGAATTTTCAAAAAGATGTTAACAGGATTGTTGGGTAGTCGATTACCCATTAGCAGTAATCGATTACTGAGAGTTGCTGCATCAGTTTTTCAGATTTCAAGTGAAGAGGTTTCACTCCAAACTGATTGCTTTTCATTCCAAACGAAACATACTCATGCCTAAGGGTATTGTGGTTAATTGGAAGCCTATATAAAGGCATTGAAACACTCTCACACAATAACAACAATATATACAACTCAGATTACAAACTTTTACTTGAAACTCTCAAAAGCTCTCACACTTTCTGATTTTTCTTACACTTCAAGCAACCTACTCTTAAACTTTCAAAGTTATTTTGAAGTTGCTTCTAAGTGTATTTCATACTTTCAAAAAGAGCATTATTATCTCAAGTATAAGAGTTGTTATTGGATTGCAAGTTCTAGAAATTGTCATATACACTTGTAAGGCAATCTAAGTCAAATTGTACATTCTTCACTTTTGCAAAGTTTACTTTCTTTCACAAGGGTGTGAAGAGTGTAATGACCCGATTTTCATAACTCGAAAATTCTTTTTTAAAATCCTTATTCGTGAAATGCAGTGATTACTTTTGAAAGACATTACTCGAACAATTTGGAAACTTGAGTGAATATGTTTATAAATTTACAAGGCAGAAATATTCCAAACACCTTTCATTTCAAAAGCATGTCATTACACTTCCGTTCAAATACATCCTTTATACAATTACCCTTTCTCAAAAGTACCTTAAATACAAACATTAGATCCACTTCATTATACACTTACAAGAAAGTTGTTTATACATGAATTCACTTTAACATGTTCTTCATATTACAAATATTTATCATATAACATATCAATTACATATTATCCACTACTCTATCATGTACTCTTCTCCGCAAGCGTCCAATGCGCTACCTCCACAACCTGAACCCAAATATACAACACATACAAGGAAAGATAGAGGGAGTAAGAACCAACTACGACGACTGTAGCGTGGATTTACATGGAGTAATGACATTAAAGTATTAAAACCACACACATCTAATCATAAATCATGATAAGCATATCTCAATCAACACATAATATCCATATTCACCCTATAGTACACATATATCTCATACTATATATGTTCTATAGTGTGCATACTTATTCATCACATATTATCCATATTCACCCTATAGTACACATACATCCCATACTATATGTGTTCTATAGTGTACATATTTATTTATCACATATTATCCATATTCACCCTATAGTACACATACATCTCATACTATATATGTTCTATAGTGTGCATATTTATTTATCCAAATATATTCATTTCTCATCATTCATATTCACCCTATAGGATATATATCCCATACTATATATCCTATAGCATGCATATGACATTCTTTGTGACATTCTTATTTCTCATCATTCATATTCACACTTGATCGTATTCATCGATTTCATTTTCCATACCACATCGGGCAGGCCGAGTTATTACTCCATACCACATCGGGCAGGTCGAGTTATTACCCCATACCTCATCGGGCAGGTCAAGTTATTACCCCATACCACATCGGGCAGGTCGAGTTATTACCCCATACCACATCGGGCAGGTCGAGTTATTACCCCATACCACATCGGGGAGGTCGAGTTATTACCCCATACCACATCGGGCAGGTCGAGTTATTACCCCATACCACATCGGGCAGGTCGATTTATTACCCCATACCACATCGGGCAGGTCGAGTTTCCACATTACACTCACATCCATGTCATACACAATCAACACAAGGCATCTCATTATTTTATCACCATAAATAACATACAACACCCTCATTGTCACAAACATACCTATATAGGTTTATAACAATCAACTTACAACATACTCATTTTGATAAACATACTCATATTCATTTTAACACATTCACAACTCATCACACATTCATTATCACACAACATAACCATTTCTACTTTTTGCCATTAAACAACACATCTCACAATCCTTGTTACAAACATACCCATGTATGTTCATAACAAATCAAACATCCATATCACACCATTATCATAAACAAACTACACACAACATATTCTTCATCCTATAAAACATTAACGTTAGAACCATCTTTCGTGACGGTGTATTACCATTAATGAGCAAATGGCGTTTTAATTAAATAAACGGTTTTCCCACAAATATATCTCCACTTTTATGGCTAATAAAACCTCATGTAAAATAAAGACTCTCACATGGACCCCAAACACTCAAATGAGTTTCTATCCGTTAACGTGCTCCGATTCTTGAGGGGAATTAGAGAAGATGACTCTAATGAAATACTCTAAGACCAAAATGGTCTTCTCCCTCACCTTAGGTTGCGTAAGCTCCGTTGCTCCGCAAAAGAGCTACATCTCCCTTCATCTCCTCCAACCTCCATTGTTGCTTTTTCACCTCCAAGCTTTTCCAAATGTGTCACCATGAAGCAAGAGGAAGGTTTTGATGAGTTTTGAGGCTAAGTGGAGGTGAAAATGGTCCATTTGGGTGGAGCCACCGTTGGGAGAGAAAGGAGGAGGAAGAAAATGAAGATTAGGGTTTCTAGATCCCCTTTTTCACTTTTATAGCTCTGACGCTCTCGCCCGGGCAAGAACGGTTCGCTTGGGCAAGAATTTCGTGACTTTTTCACATTTCACACTGGAAAGCTCTCGCCCGGGCATGGATTTCTCGCTCGGGCGAGAATCGGGCAGTATGCTAAGGCCCCCCTCTAGCCTGGGCGAAAATCCTAGCTCGAGCTAGAATTTGGCAGCTTTTCCAAATTTCACTTTCGCTCAAACGACCACTTCTTCGCTTGTGCGAGGTTCCTATACTTCTCAACATAAACAGACCTCCAAGCTTTGTTGGAGAGTGTTACGACTTTTGGAAAATTAGAATGAGGATTTTCATAGAGTCGCAAGACTTGGATATTTGGAATGCTATCGAGGAAGGACCATAAGTGTCATTTACCGTTGTCAACAACATCAGAGAGACAAAGCCAAAATCTTCATGGAATGGTGAAGATAAAAAGAAGGTGCAATATGATTTGAAAGCAAAGAACATCCTCACATCGGCACTTGGAATAGATGAGTTCTTTAGAGTGTCCAACTGCAAATCTACTAAGGAAATGTGGGACACTTTGGAGATAACTCACGAAGGTACCGAAGAGGTAAAGAGATCGAGGCTCAACACTTTATCCCAGGAATACAAAATGTTTCGTATGAGACCTGGAGAGAAGATCTTGGATCTTCAAAAGAGATTTACTCATCTCACCAACCATCTTATTGCACTTGGCAAAGCGCTGTCAAATAGTGACTTGAACTTAAAAGTTCTAAGGTCACTAATAAGAACATGGCAACCAAAGTTAACGGCTATCTCCGAAAAGAAAAGACTTTCGAAAATGTCATTGGTTCCTTTGTTTGGAAAGTTGCAGGAACATGAACTCGAATTGAGTCAACTTGATCAACACGAAGAACTAGAGAAGAAGAAGAACATTTCTCTCAAGGCAAAAGCTGAGAAATATGATTCATCGGAGGATGAAGACGACATGGAAGAGACCGATGACATGAGCCTCTTCGTTAAAAAGTTCAGCAAGTTCCTAAGAAGGAAAAAAGGCGGAAGAATCGGGCAAATAAAGAAGTTCTCCAAAAGCAATGAGGCCTCCACTTCAAACCAGAATTTTACATGCTTTGAGTGTGGCAAACCTTGCCACATGAAGATGGACTGTCCAAACATCAAGAAGAGTTCTTTCAAAGGAAAGAATAAATTAAAGAATGGACGAAGAGCCTACATCGCTTGGGAAGACAAGGACACAAGTTCAGCCTCTGAACCAGAAAGCGAAGAGTAGGCGCATCTCTCCCTTATGGCGTCTCATCATTCAGACGATGAAGAGGTAAATGAATCTATCCCTTTTTCTTCTTCCGAATTGCAAACTGCATTTAATGATCTACATGATGAATATATGAAATTGTCAAAAATGTTTCTAAAACAAAAATCTGAACTAGATTCTCTTTGAAACATACCTTCATCATCCTCATGTTTAAATTGCATTACTCTTGCCAACAAAGTTTCTACATTGAGTCTTGAACTCAACAAAATGAGCAAGAGTAGCAAGAGCCTGAGTAAGATCATTAATGATCAAAGACACTCTACGGACCGAAGAGGTCTTGGCTATGGAAAAGGCCCTGCTCTTAAGAAACAAAATAAGTCTATCATAATAGACATTCAGAAAACATGTATCCATGCATCTACACATAGCAAACATAAATCTAGGATACATATGCATCAACCTATTTTCTCTTATTGTAAAAATCATGGGCACACACCAAATACTTGTCATATTAGAAAATATGGTGTTCCCCTAGGATATTTTAAATGGGTTGAGAAAGGATCTAACCATGTAGGACCCAAAACAAGTTGGGTACCTAATATAACTTAACCTGTTTTGCAGGTTGATTTGAGCGCCGCCCGTAATTTATGGTACTTGGATAGCGGTTGCTCAAAGCTTGACGAGCGATAAAAGTAAGTTCTTTGTCCTTACTCCAAGGGACAAAGGCTATGTCACATATGGTGACAACAACAAAGGAAGAATTATTGGAGTCAATAGAATCGACAAGCCACCTTCAACAACCATAGAAGGAGTGCTATATGTGGAAGGACTTAAGCACAATCTTCTAAGCATAAGTCAAATTTGCGACAAGAGCTTCCATGTATCATTCTACCCAGATATGCGCATCATTGAAAGTAAGGAATTTCTAAACTCTAAACTTGTTGGTAAGAGAATTAATAACATTTATATGATAGATATAGATTCATATCTTCCTATAACATGTTTAGTTGTAAATGATATTCATGATGCATTGCTTTGGCATAGGAGAATTGCTCACATACATATGGACCATTTGAATAAGCTAATCAAGAAAGATTTGGTTGTTGGTTTACCCAATATGAAGTTTGTTAAAGACAACTATGTGGTGCATGTCAAATGGGTAAACAAACAAAAACCTCTTTCAAGCCAAAGCATATGGTTTCTTCGGATAGACCATTGCAGTTACTACACATGGACTTATTTGGCCCTTCAAGGACAAAAAGTCTTCGTGGTAATTACTATGCTCTTGTTATAGTAGGTGTTTTTTTACGCTACACTTGAACTCTATTCTTAGTACATAAGAATGAGGCATTCAAATCCTTTAGCACTTATGCTAAAAGGGTCCAAAACGAAAAGTTACTTAAAATCGCTGCTAAAAGAAGTGATCATAGGGGAGAGTTTCAAAATGCATCTTTTGAGGAACTTTGTGATGATATTGGGATTAATCACAACTTTTCTGCTCCTAGAACACCACAACAAAATGGTGTTGTAGAGAGAAAGAATCGGTCATTAGAGGAACTCGCAAGAACAATGTTGAATGAAACTATCCTCCCAAAATACTTTTGGGTTGATGCGGTAAGCACCGCTTGTTATGTTTCAAATAGAGTTCTAATAAGACTCATTCTAAAGAAAACCCCCTATGAACTCTTCAAAGGAAGAAAACTAAACATTTCACACTTGCATGTATTTGGTTGTAAATGTTTCATCTTGAATAATGGCAAGGAAAATTTAGGCAAGTTTGATGCAAAGGCAGATGAAGGAATCTTCCTAGGCTATTCTCTCACGAGTAAAGCTTATAGAGTCTTTAACAAAAGAACTCTAGCCATGGAAGAATTTGTCCATGTCTCTTATGATGAAACCAATCCTCTAATCAAGGAAAGGTTGACCATTGATGAAGAAAATTTCCCTAATTCTACTTTTAATGAAAATGCTATTATTGAAACTACACCTAATATAGAGCATGTGGAAGTGGATGATAATCCTTCCATACAAGAATAGCATATTCACTCTGATTTACCCAAAGAGTGGAGAACTCATCGAGATCATCCTATAGACAGCATTATTAGCGATATTAACAAAGGTGTTACCACTCGCTTAATGCTAGAAAATGTTTGTCTAAACATGGCCTTTGTTT